ACAGCTGATCTGCATAAAATGAATTAAATTTATTACGATATGCAGACGATTAATCACCTGTATAGATTACTCCAGAGAAAGTAGATGATAGTTTAATACTGAGACTAGCTTTGAGGAATACACAGCTGCAAGTAAACAAAGCCATTCCGATGCGGAAGCGTGCACAACATTTCCTACCACTTACTGATGGAAGCTCGGGATGGCTCAGTGGTTAGAGCGCAAATCTACTGATCGGAGGGTCCGTGTTTTGAACCCGACCTCTGCATCTCGACTGCTCGTGTTTAGGCCTAAGCAATCTGGCAGTATCTGAGCCCTTGTGCTCTCTTCGTGTGGCATGGCAGCTGGGCACATCTGAACAATTAAGCTTGGTACCTGTCGTAGGATGCACACTAACGAAAAGTATCCTAACGAACGTATGAACACTGATAGTCCAAAGTTTTGTCAGTCCTTATGAAGCAGTGTTTAGGATTTACCAGCAGTCGCCGTTCGTATTCGCGCAAGAGTTCATTCTTTCACTATTTGTTGTGCCAGAGGTCATACGGTTCAAACTCAATTTTGAAAATTTGAATGTAAGCAAGTTGATGTTCATATATAGAACAGGAGGTTTTTAGTTATTTTGTTTACTTTCTTTACGGGATGCTGATTAGTGTTCTTCATGCTGCCCTGTCCTTCGTCTATCAAATAGATCCACGACTAATGCACTTTAGTAAGACTTCCCTCGGATTGGTTTTGTGATCAATAAGGATGATCGCAAGGCCCTTTGCCATATGAATTGATGTAAGCAACCACCGGTCACTTCATGTTCCACTTTGTCGGAACGTTCATCCGTGGGGTGATTAGTCGAGCTTTGTAGGTGTAAATAAAACCATTGTTCCGGTTTCAGTCAGAGAACAAAACCCTGCACTGGCTGGTAAGTCGTTTAAAGTTAGACACACGAAACGGGGGTAAAATATTGCTTCTTTAGGTGCCGAACTGTACCAGGAACAAGAACCGGTTAGAAAATACTTAACGAAATATGTTACACCAGATATTGTACCACTAAAACAATGTTTCCCCCAAAAGACATCTTTTTTTGCTACTGGTTGCCGTCTCTCTGTCTCTTAGTAAATAAAAAATAAGGCAGGCTGTTCCGTGAGACCAAATCTGCGTGATTTTTATTACAAACAAAATGAATTGGCTGATCACACTGCATTGAGGAGGCGGTTCTTTCGGGTTAAACTGAAGTTAGCCACTAATAGCTGGCCTATTTCTAGGACCGTGTTAAGGGATTACTTTTTGTAGAGTTTAGGACAAAAGCTAAGCTAAGGAAATGGTAACAATATTTTTATTGCTTAGCATTTATGAATATGTGCAGCGTTTTAGACCATTAGATACAGCAGCACATACAGAATGGAAAGTGAAATCAGGAGAAAATTTTCCAATTTTTCCAAAGGTCGCCGGTTCTAATTCATGGTTAACAAAATTTTAAACCGTTTTGGATGGTTGTATAATAGTTTGTCGTATCAACTGACAAATTTGTGGTCGGATCTGGGAACTAACTACTGGGTGAATTGTCATGGACTGGGTGAGATGGAAAACGGCGGTCAAGCGATAGTAAGTTAACATTCATACCAGTTTGCTTGACTTATTCAGTCAACTGGTCTCAAGTTGCAGTTGTCAGAATAGAAATTCGCTTCTATTTACTTGTACCGACAGGTCTGTAACCCGCCAGCTGAGCACCTGTGGCTGCCCAGCCAACGGTGATCAAATGGTGGCACAAATTGTTGCGTTCAACGCCAAGACAGTTTCCTCTGGGTGGTATGACTGAGGGTCACTCAAAATCCTGACCGACTACACCTCAACGGTTTTCGTCGTTTTGACAAAAAAGGCACATTATAACTGAACTTGAACAAATTATTTGAAGCAGGTCGGAGAAATCGATAATCATCCAAAAATTGCTCTACTGAATGATTAGCACGTCTTAGTTAATATCAAGGGTTCACATTCTGGAGAAGCATGTTACGATTTAGTTACAATTGTGAGCGTGTAAAATGAGAATGTGGGTTTCAGTGAACAATATGTCGATGTCACATTGATAGAAAAATATGAGGCTTATTGGGTGACCATACGGATCAAAGTCCAGCCAGTTTCTGGGAGATGTTTGAATGTGAAATTACCGAAATGGGCGTAGGCTGTGGTCAGAATTTGCGCACAAATCTGAGTGCAACCTAAACATAGCAAATACCAGTGACTGGGAAGGACCAATGAGGGTTTTTTTGGCTTTGAAACAAAGTGCTAAAATAATCCACCCTTATCGATTTTCTGAACGATAAACATGAATATGAGAACCTACAGTTTATATTTTTCAACAGGTCTCCCAAAAACACGAGCCTGATGGATATACAGTGCATTCTGCACGAACAACACAGCTGGTTAACGAGAGAGTCGCCTCGCATTTTTCTGCCTTTATTTGTGACAAAACCTGTGACATTTACTTCGTATGTTGGCACTGAGAAATTGAAGTGTTGGGACAGTGATGAAGTAGATAGCTTCCTCATTGCGAGGCAGAGATGAGCTGAGAATTATGTAAATATTTAGTAAAACCACAGAGAAACTTCCAACTCATTTGAGATCTTTTGATATCTTGCCTCTACAGCAAAACTGCTCATTGGTCTGTATCATGTAGCTGGCAAAATTACGATTATTGAATGTCAGCATTTGTCTGCTGATATCCTGGGTAAGGACTGCTGAGTAAGAGACCAATTGATGAGTAATAACTAACAACCGTCAACTAACTTGTGTTTTGACGATCCCAGAATGGATACAGTATTATGAAGCAGAAAGACCTACATGCCATGTGTTGACTCTCCATACACGTGCACAAAACTTTGAAGAAAACGTTACAATTTGCACCAGTTTTACTCGCTATAAAGGTCCTACTTAAACAGTGAACAGAACATGATGGGAAGAGTCCGGAGAGTTCCGGAGTTCATTCGTAACGAAAATTCGTGCGACGTGCAGACACTTGCTTCATTTTCTACAGCTGGAAGTACTGGGGGAAACATTTTAGAAGAATTTGTGGAATAAACACTAGGAGCTTGACAACCAGGTCGTTAGGTGATGTTAAGGATTTGTCTGTTATTATGGATTTCTTCCCCGGCATTGGAAATGCATCGATGTGAGACCTAAAGTTAAAGCAGACAGCCTGATTTATTATGTTTGGGCAAGGAACCAAGTAGTCGATGGCATAAAAGTGCCTGTTTTAATGAATTCATTATTTTCGAACCATTTTCAGCCCCATAACAATGATGAATGATTAAATCAAGTTGCCCGGTGGTCTGTATCCAATATGTGGTTCAGGATTGCGCCATTTTATGACATTGTCATCCCGATTCCGAGAGAGTTCGAATAGTTCCGCTTGATCCTCTGTGACAAATGTATGTTGTCTGACAAAGTTAATTTGAAGGGCATTCGGAAACAAATGGATAGGCCATCACTGTGTAGTCAAAGATGAACGATCCGGCCCCGAGAAAAAAGTGAACTATGAAACGATAGCCCTAGTTTGACTGAGTGTCCCGCCTTATTTGCGGTGAGGTTCCAAAGAGAGCCGTTCTACAGTATCATCCCTTTTTTGGAAGACAAATTTAGAAAATGAAACATCTTTCATTGTTTTGTTCTGCGCCAATTCGGACGAATGCTGTGTGCCGTTGAGTTGAGGTATTTTTCAACTGGCGATCCTTACGTTACAGCCTAAACAAACCATGTCATGCTTGCTTGAAAGAATGCTGTTAACATAGATACTGTCAAGTAAACTGGATGAAAATTTTCTACTTTATTATGATAGATTTTCATCTGAGAATTAATCTACTCAGAAGTGGTTTAATTACAAATTCAACACGCTTGGTATTCACAGTGTTGTTTTGTACTGGCTCGTGTTTCGTTTGCAGGCCTTACATACTGAGGCACAATGTTTCGTTGTCGCCAATGGCTAATAATCGTTTAGGAGCATAGGATATTATCAACTATGTATTATCCGCGAAGGGGTAAGAAAACCAACAACATAAGCCACTCTTCCTTTATAGAAGACAAATAGGTTAGGTTGGAAGCTTGAATGAAGAAACCCTACTTCAAGACAGAGGGTATGCAAATATAACCTTTCAGCAGTTACGAAAAACCTGCTTCGCGGCTTTAGCTTTACACCAATCGGTTATTTTTTATGATTAATTTTGATGGATAGGTTATAAGGTGAAATTGACAGTAAGATAGACTTGCAACGCTGATGTCTTCATCTGCTAGGTGATCCTTCAGAGGGTGGATGATACCGTCATAAAGCGCCAGTAACAGAGTTTGTACCCACAAAGTTTGAGCTAATCACGACTGCGTCGCACAACTTGGTTACTTCCGTATCCATAACCATCAACAATAGTCTAGCGAAATCACTGGTAATAATTATCGACCATCGACACAACTCCAAGGAAGCTACAAAGATCGATTAGGCTGAACAGACTCTGATAAAATTGAAGGTCCTGCTTGCTTTAGTAATAACACAAAGTGCTTGCTGATATTTAAGAGAAACATAAATCAACCAGTCGAATGGACGTACAGCTCGGCATGTAATGTTTTATTACTATCATGGAATTGAGCTGGTTGGTCAGTCAGTTAGTAAATGTGACTGAACGAAGTAATCCAGTAGTTGCTTATTTTATATTGCAGTGGTAATGCCAACCAAGTCTGTATGATGAAGGGTGTCGGGTATGCTGACAGGTTTTTTAAGCCCGAATGACTAATCGAATACAGCTCACCATCTTGATGTCGGCTGCGAATGGTGCTGTCACTTATTTGGACCATCGTTTCTTTTGACGTTATACTTTCGGGAGAAACTAAGTCACTGTGATCTCTACTGTGATCATATTATGGTTGTAATGAGATTGGTCTTTACACTGGTATAGGCAAAAACGACGCTGGTCAAATACAACTTAGGTCAGTCAGCGAGGATTTGCCGGCGCAAAATACGAACTTACCGATTGGGGCAAGAAGAGGATTACGTGTGGAGCTTGAAGTCGATCGCAGTTCCGCTTCAGATTTTGGTCTGATACTAAGATGAGAGTCTTTGTCGAACGTGATTGACTGATAGTCTGGAGCTTTGACAGGCGCATCAAGTATTAACACCCCGTCCTACAAATGAGAACGCAATGAAAGCATCGTGCGAAGCTCAGACCATCATCTACTTCAGGAATTATTAGAAAGAAACACTGTAAAGCTAATAGGTAACAAGACTGCAGGGGTGGATACTGGTGTGCACAGTACTTGTATTCACTACCACAATAAAAGTACTGAAAAGGGCTGAAAAAGACTGCATACATTGGATAACCGAAAGTCTATCAATTAGTGATGGTAAATAATTGGCTTTCTGCGACCTTGGCCATATCAGTAGGAGCTAGGCAACAACCGCCGTTTCAGAGTAGTGTTCTTTTACTGAAGTGTTACCAAAGTCCATACGCCCCACTTTTGTGTCTCAACTTAAGCATCCCCTATTTATTTGCTGATTTCAATGTGACAACAGAAAGGGATTTAGATGAAGTTGTGATTCTTGACCTGCATCATGCTTACATCACCTTGGCCACATCCATCAGGCGTACTCAAGTTGATTTAACTTTCAGTCGCTACTGGCCGCATGCTCATATTTTACAAGGGCATGGTAGGAAATAAATAACAAGACGAGATCGGAAATTTCAAAGACTGATTTTAACAGTTAACAAAAATGCTTTTGTACTAAAAAATGTTTGTTACTGAGACAAAATACTTGCTGAACGAGTAGACGGCAGTCATTGTCGAAGGAAATCTACATTTCACGCTCCTTGGCTGAAGGTGGGAACTGATATCTGAGCCACTTTGAAAGTTGATGTATTCTTTACTGGTTTTTGACTAGTATTCACTCCAACGCACCTGTGGGAATCAGTTTTCTAAAATCACAAGCAACAGAGACTAATATTTGGTCACCTATGGACGAGCTAGCTGCACTAGCGGTCTATGTGACACAGAACTAACGCAGTAACAATATGAGTGATAAGCAGTCTGTCCACACTTGTCTTTCTTCCTTCCTAAGCGCTCTTACAATGGGTATTTTTAGCTACTGTGTAGTTTGTATACCATGACCTTGACCAAACTGCTACTTTCTTCATTGTGCCACGTTCTCTACCGATAACTGGACCACCACACTCAGCGGATTGCAGCCGATGGTTATCAGCAGCCGAAATCAACAAGCAGGTTGCCTTTGTGCGCGTGTCAGCACATGCATAAGTCATTCGTACGTTTTCATATGCTAATCGCCTCATTTCTTACGCATGAACCTGCTAGTTACGGAAGCTTTCCGTGATGTGCTAATTCAGCAGTTTGGAATGGAGAGGATTTGATCAAATTTTACCATGTGACTAAGAGAGGCTAACTTGCCAGGACAGTTTACAGTCTAATTTCTCCATGGGTATACTTTTCTCAGGTATATACCAAACACTGGGTGCATAAATCTAGGTATAGTTATCCAATTGAATCGAAGGAATATTAGATGTTGTATGGAGAGGCCGACTGCGAAATAAATACAGATAGATTTCATAAATGAGAGATTCAGTTGACTGTCCCATGGAAACCAAAATGGTATGTAATTGAGTGTATTTGTCGAAATACGGGTGCACTTAGTCGTACCAAAATTGGCAAAACACAAATTTATTCGCACCCTTCCTTTTACGCCTATGTAGTGCGGCCGATAGGCTATCTAATACTAATGCGACTACCTATCAACTTTAGTGCGTTTATGTAACAGGTGCTTTACTGTGAGGTAACCACTAAGAGAAATCCCTATAGTTGAGGCCAAACATCATCACAACGAAATACTGGAACTCTCTCGTGAAACACTGGTGAGTCACTGCCATGTCATTGGGAAGCCTACTAACATGAGGGTTTTAATGGGCTGAAGATGCATGTCAGCCGAGGTGTTAACACCTCAGACCACCGGAATACCCCCGAATTGTCCTTGTTTAGCGGGACACTCGCAGAAGAAGGTGAGACCTACATGTGGTATTGCTCAAACCCTTTGAACCATGGAAGCAGCCTTAACGAAAGAATCAACACGTTGATGCGCTGCATATTGTTGTTGTTACCAGATTTCATACTACTAGTATTGTTACCCTAAACGCAACTAGCCATCGTTGGAACGCTATCCTCAACATAAACAATTTAAAAGCTTACACCTTCAAAATCGCAGTACCAAGGTGGACCTCCTAACAAAGTCTTTCTAGCGATGAAATGAACATAAGTGTTCTAAAGCAGCTGTCAGTTAACTAATGAAAAAAACATCTGATTGACGAGAACCAAATAAGATATCTTTGGATGAAATTTACCTCGGTCAAGTTGCACTGGAAATGTTCATGGTCAATGGATTGTGGCAAGTCAATCGTTCGGCTGAATTCTTTTGCCGTTTCGTTTCCACCGGTCTTGGAAACTTTTTTCGCATGTACAGTAAGACGATTATCTACCGTTGTGACATCGATATCTTCTGGGGCGAAATCTTTCGCGTCGAAACGCACTTTGAAATGCACCTTTTAAGAACGAGGAAGAAGAATGCTTGATATGGGTAAAGGAATTGTCTACAGTTCCAGATATTCGCAATTTTCATTTTTCTCTCTACCACAGATAACTTGACTAAAACAGTTTTGTGTCATAATTTCGAGTCTACTTTGCATTTATAACGTTTCAGGGGGCTATCACGAATGTTTCCAATGCTGCTTACCGGATCCCCGGGGATTTGAAGTTATCCGGATAGGACGGAGTGATATTACTGTGGTGCGTGCAAAATTTCTGGATAGAGGAGTGATCTCATGGTGAAGGCAGCAGTGAACTAGTAATTTGTCGTAGGCGGCTGATGACCACTCTTCCATGAGACTTAGTGCCATCGTCTGGGTAGTTGGTTTCTTACAGAAACCCTAGATCGAACTGTTGTCACCTCAAATCTGGACGTAAAACGTGATCAGATTATCCTCTCTTCTCCAGGCACACTCGCTTTAACGGTCCATTAAGAATACCTGATGGGATTTTTCACCTAAGAGAAGAATGAACGTCAACTGTGACAACTGGCTTCCAATGAAAGGAATGCAAGCTGGCCAAGCCAGGTTTCACCTTTCAGAAGCTCCGAATGAATCCCCTGGTAAAACCAAAAGACAATCAGATTTCATACATCCAAATGACAAATTTTGTAGTGCTACACAATACCCACTGATTACCATTTTAGCAGGATTCGTCAATCGAAGTGAACTTTTCGCACTACAGGCCAAAAAACAATTTTTCTATATTCCGTAAGATACATCACAATCCTGGTCAATTTTAGGATAATTGCTACTGGTTTAGACTGTCACCCAGTTTGAGCACGAAGGACTCAACTGTTACAAATTGGTATCACCAGTACAGTTCGCTAGGAGACTGCGCGAGAAACATTGCCCGATAAGTGCATGTGCACGTTGGGGAGAAAAGAGACCCATCCAAGAGTGGTCCTTAACAGTGGCTTCACAAGCTTCTACGTAATACCCTGAGGATCTACGCTGTGTTGCATGCATAACTATGCAAGTGGCATTCCTCCATTTGGAACAGGTTTTATGAGTGTCTCGGTCCTCATTGCTCAGTTAAGCTATCGGACCACTGGGGCTGTGCTCAGACAAAAAGAAAAAGTTTCTGAAGTAGTGATTGCCGTTCAGGCACCTGGGGCTTATTAGCCCCGACCGACTCGTTCTTTTAAGTCGGCCTCATTGCAATACGCCGTCTTCAGCTGAAAAGCAGTCAAGGTCGTCGCCCTTGGCGGTTTACGTACTTTAGTCTGCGGTTATCGCCTGGCTTCATTGGTCTTATCTGAAAATATACAATTAGACGTGAGCTGAAGCGATTGTTAGAACCAGGATTTCGAGATGAATAGCGGGCCGAACTTGTTACTCCCCGAAGGGGTGATGGGTTACGATGTGGGGTATTTGAACATGTGCCAATCTGAAAAACGGTGACTGAAACCAACGGACCAGTAAACAATAAAGATGGGTAGGCTTTCTTCAAATTATGGATTTTAATTGATCGATCTCGTTTGAGAATGGAATGAATTTCGAATTACGGTGGGTGTCTGGTTAGACCACAAAGTTGGTAGACTACACAGGATGTCCAGACTGAGCCGATCTCTACTTCTCAATTCTAATCCATCTATAAGTGCCACACAGCTAAGCAATCTGGTGTGGGTAAAATAAATCATCAAGTGAATGGCAAGCAAACCTATGAACTGCAAGCATGTTCCAAACAGCAGGATTGGTTCTATTATTCAGTTCATCTGGCCTCCAAAGTCAGTCGCTGCAGCCAATACACCGGATATTGGCCGGCTGATGATTTCATCTGAGTTACTATTGCATGGTCAAATTTACAATATGCTAAGAAAGACTAAGCAATAAGAAAAAGCGTTCCCGGACAATGTATTGTAGTCTTCAGAAAATATATTCCTTAAAATTTGGTGCTCAGATAGGATCGATCCTGAAGTAACAGTTCCGGATGGGATTTGGCAAGACACATATGTACAGCACTTTTCTAATATCAGCAGACATAAAGGTTTGCATGCGACTTCGTTGGTGACCAGCTAGAGAAGCTGAAAAGCATTGTTTCCCCCGGCGTATGCATCACAGCCGGTCGTGGCACCGGACTCTGAAAGCATGAATAGCTTTTATCAGGATGAAGTGCCCACGGTATCGAAGTAACCTTCTGTCTTCTCTAGACTTTGAGGTAAATAGTTTTGCATTCCAAGCCATACGAATAATCTGCCGAAAGGCTAGTATTTTCGTATCGAAGATATCCGCATGCTTATATCAAGTGTTAATACAGTATTGCTCATGCATGTCGACAGTGGCAATAGTTGACACCGTGGGCTAGCTACCGCTAGCCCATAACCGAACGATATCGTTTTAAGATAGCGGGTAAGTAGGGCCGGACTTGTCCTCCGAATGTTCTTCTAAGGAGCTAAGAATTGTGGTTTTGTGTGGTAAGAAACCGATATCGAGCCTAAGCTTTCATGACCTACTCTGCCTCCTGCTTTTGGGTTTCTGTGATAGCGAATGCTGGTGGCCAGTTATATTACACGACGTGGCCAAAACCAGAGTTCAGCCCCGCGAATTCCCTTATTTTTACCGCCAAACATGATGCAAAAAAGGCGAAAAGTTCCAGCGTGTAACAAAATTGTGTAAAGGCAAACCCTTATTTCCTCTTTGTGTGTTTGCGATTTCCTTCATTAGTCTGGTCAACAGATCTACCAAGTTCCTGTTTGTCGCAATCAGTTTACCAAAGCAAAAAGTGGGATGAACCAGAATGCCAAAAAACTGTAAGTTATACACTGAAACCTCCTGACATATTGTGTCCATTCACAAGCTTACTGTCTAGTCACGATAAATTAGCCATCCTCCAAGTTTCCATTTTTCGTTACCATGCCAAGGTGATTTTTGGACAACGCACAGGTTTTACCCACGCGCGCATTGTGGAGTGGGAGATTTAGAACTTTTCGGTTTTATTGGCGTACGTAGTATTCGTTAAAAATTTTTAGTGCATACGGAGGCAGTAAAAACCTTAAGCTTAGCCTAGAATAGTAATAAGGAACGCGTCAATTGATTTTCGAAAAGTACCAATGGTTTCAAAACCCTCAATGTTTTTTTAGCTCTTTTGATGCAGCATTTAACGGAACAACAGGCAAAACGGAACATTCAGTTACCTGAACGGGACGAAGTCATCGCTGTATCATGAGTAAAAAACCTTTTGAATGGCAGCCTAGAATCTTCTCAGTCAAATGGTGATATAGGCTATTCTGATTAAGCAAAATGCCTTTCTTACCTGTCCATCTTCATCTAACTCGTATGCATCTTTCAAAAAGTTCATCACTCCGCCTGGAACACTTCCTTGGGGCAGCAAAGCCCCAGGAGTACCGCCCTGTGTGAGCCTCAAAGCTTCCGGTCCAGTGGACTTGCTCGACATCGATGAATGGCTAGATGTACCTGTCGTGACTCCGTTGACTGTTCTCGAATGTTGAACGCTTTCTTGCACATTGCTACGCGTTTGCATACTGCGTGGGTCACCACTTCCACTTGTTGTGGACGTGGTGACTCGTGATGTGCTCGAGGACTGAATGGTTCTTCCGCTCGTCCCAGGAAATCTCGTCGGGCCAAGAGAACTCATATCGCCCATTTGTTGCCGTAGCGTTTCCATCTCTCGCTCCATTCTTGCTATCATGGATGAATGTGATGTTGGGTGGTCGAAAGATCCTATAGCATCCATGGGACCCCAGCGGTCCATTGTGAAGTCATCAACGGGCTGAAACGGACAGAAAAATGCATGCACGAGTGTCGAGTTGATAAACACTTTGAGGAACAACGTACGCTGTATCAAACGAATTCAAGCACTTTATAAAGAGCTAGTTCACCCCCCTAAAAGGAATCAAAGTTAAGATGAAAATTTTCAACTATTTCAGCATGGTGAATGTGGCGTCCAAATTTAAACATGTTGTGAAATCAAATAAAGGGGTTTCGGCACTTTCACGGAATAACGAAAAATGGACATATGCTTCACCGATGTTTCGACCTTACACGTGAAAAAAATTGAACATATAGCCCGTATACCAAAACAACATTGACTGGGAGGTAAAACATTCCACTTTACGCCCCCATGGCTCAAAATTTACTCCTAACGAAAACTAGGGTGCGAATTTCGTGAATTTTCTGCTGTCACCTAGGAGTCTCGCAGGTGGTAACAGGACATAACTGCTTCGGGTTCTGATTGGGGTACCATAACACGACTTCCATTTATAGGGCCGACCACTGTAATCTTTGTCCCATTCTGTAAACAACAGCCCTCAGGTGAAACCTCTGGTGTTTGATCCCTAGTAACTTTTTCCTCAAAGGTGAGTTCATACGTGAAAATAAACAAACTTTGATTAGCCTCTATTGAACCCCTATTGAGCGAAAGACAGAAAGTTTATCTCTCTAGAGAGATCACTTAGGACCACGACTGCTATTTAATACTTCCACATTTTTAAACGGACGCAATTTCACATTTCTTCCATCTTGAGACTTCGAAGGACCTAGTGGAACTAATCCCTGTTGCGAAAATGTCCATGGCAAAAGGAAAGTACAAGTTTTTATTTCCTGTTGCGACTGGTCTCTTTTCTCACGGTCGTATTCCTATCATTTCACACCGTGTTTCGTAAGTGACAGGTTTCGTTCAAAGCCTTTGACCTTCTCAGGTCCTGACAAATATGCGAGGCACAAAGTTAATTGATTACCTACCGAGTGTAATGCAATTCGCCATTTATTGAAATCCTCAGTGCGTACTTGCCTTCAGAGGGTGTTTTAGAACATTCCTTGCCGTCGGATGCAGCATTATCATTATCATCATCTGCTCAAACATATTTATCATGACTAGTACCACCTTTAAATCAAATTTGGGCATCTTATGTAACTAAGGTCTCTCCAGGAAAATCGACTCAATACCTTTACGAAATCTAGTCAACACACACTACATAACGACAAATGACCTTAAACTTGGCAGTCCGACCAGGAAGTGACATCGTGTTCTCAAGTGAGGTTAGTTGTGTCATGCCCTACTGGGTTTTCAACTGTTCGAAGGTTGAATCATGTGGATTCCATTTGAGGAAGGACAAAGATCTTGCTGATGCCATTTTCTTTTTGCGTGGCGAAATCATGGTATGTCCTCAGGACCATTCCATCAGTAGATTTTTGGATGGGAAGAGCTGACTAAGCCTGCACGGCTTACGTCAAAACAGCTGGTCATAGTGAGTTCTGCTTTCTGCCATAACGAGTCCGATTCGTTAAGAAGTACGTTTCGTATTGCCATGTGAATGCCGCAGGTGGCTAACGCCTACTAAGCTAAGAAGATACCGGTGATCAACCATTTAAGAGTCTTCTAGTCGTACGCGATAAGACCTTTAGCCATAAAGTATAACTGCTCTTATGGTTGACTTGAAAGCACGGCCCAGTGACCCCGAGAAATTTGTTTTGAAAATAAAACCAGTCCAAAAATATGGCTTGTGCCATGGTAATACTTTCACTAACTTAAGATTTCATTATACATGCCCATAATTCGATCAATAGCAAACTTTGCGATCTCAGGAGAGAGAGAACAATCAAACGGAAAATACTGAAGCCAGACTCAGAAGTTACAAAAATATATGCGCCAAGTTCTGAGGCGTTTCCTCATTTTTTAAAGTGATAATGCTAATTGACGACTAGCAAACAGATATTATCCGCACGGTCCAAATCCACTAGTTCTTCTCCGGGTACCAAACTGATTTCTGGACTCTCGGTCCATTGGACTGTGTAGTCCATGTATGTCAGCGACGCAGTTCAACAAAAATAAGAAGATAAGTGAGTCCTGATGACTCCCGCTAATTTTGAGAAAACTTTTGGACCGTTCATCGTAGGAGCCTACAGTACAAATGGTATTAGAATGGAGAAAACGAAGTATATTTCCATATTCAAGGATATTTGTTTTGTTTCGTAATATACATAAACGCCATCCCGTCTACGGATCCTTTTGAATTCAAGGGTAACAGTGACTCATGGTCGGCGTCAAGCATGTTATCCACCAAGTACGTGACCTAGTGTAGTTTCGGAAATAAAGCAAATCCGTCTGACCAAAATCCTACCTGATACCCCGAATCTGCTTGTGTTAGGCTTATTTTCATAAGAGAGGTGATCTGTCTTGACACAACAGGTGTGGGGCTAGTACCTCAAAGATCAATCTGAACAGATCGTGATGCTGACTGGCTAAAGTTTTGGAGAGCTATATCGTGTTCCTAAGCAGTTCTTGAATAATGCTGTCAAACTAAAACGACAAGACACCACAACGTTCGAATAAAACTGATGGTAACACATCTGGCCTAGAAACCCAGGGATGCCTCAAGGCGGAAGAGCACAATAACACTTCGAAGACTACACCTACTTGATTTGAACGGACTGAATGGAATAAAAATTTGCAGGCCAACAGAAGAAAACGAATCGTCTTTGGAAGTGTTTGACCAGCGACCATTAATCATTAATAAAAATTATATTTCCATTAGTATGTTTGATTGACTCACAAACTAATCTAAGTGTATGGATCGATTGAGACCGATTCAATACCTTCCTCGATACCTTCAATACCTACCTCGAAATTTTTCAGATTGCATCATGCCTCTACCTCCATAAAATGGGTTTTTTAGTGCTGAAGTCCAACCGACTGTCTAGGTGGACTATGCTCTAATCCTGATGGGCAGCTTTCGGAGACGGTTGTGAGATCCAGTGGTCTCAGTGCACGCGCTCAGGAACATTGGAGTCGGAGTATCCGGCCTGGCCTATATCCATATTCATCAGCCAGTTATCTTCAAGCCCTCCTTTTAAATTCTAGCGTAGGTTACGTCAGATTGGATACGTTTATTCTAGTCGGAGTCACAAAACTCCTCCGCTACTAACTGAATATCTCCTAGGTTGTTTGGGATAATTTAACAAGACTTCTTTGGACTACTCATGCATTCGAACGCCGCCATGTGCAGGCAATTGTGGTCTGATCACTTTAGGTCCGTGGTTACAAAGTTGAACGAGAAGATTAAATAGCGCAGCAAAACTTAATTTACCTGAGTGAAGTACTACTGATAAGCAACCTGCGGTCCTTGCAAACTTAAGAAAGGCACCCATCATGTTGTACTCGTTTTGAGTCCGAAATAAATGTCTACAAGGTTTTTCTGCTCGACTGGGAGGATTTAGATATGTGCTGAAAATTCCGGTTACTATGGCCAGATCAAAAGTCTTCGCGATAAAAATAACATGGCGAGTTCTCTCACTGAATCGGAGCAGCAGTTGGTGGGCGCAAAAGTAAGCACCACCACCACCACCACCACGAATCATGGTTTCAGTAAACAAAATTTGGGGTACTCGTACTTGATGAAACCCAAGACGGGAAAAACCAATAATGAGTTTTCGGAGAGTTTTCAGTAATCCTTTGAGTAGTCCCACTCAAGAAAGATGGTATCATACATTTAGCGAGCCCAGTTCACCGGAAAAATGGATTGGAATTAAAAGTGAATGTAATATCTTGGAAATCTATTTGATCATTTGGTAACAAGTTCGATGGGTATCCGATGCAAAAGCAAAGTCAAGTTATTTAGCCTTGCTGGAGATCATCAACAGACAACAGTGTTAACAATTATTTGAATCAATTACAGCATTACTTGGGCTGACATATTTCCGGCTAAGATAGTATACCACCTGAGGCAAAGTAATCACCAGAAGGAAGAACAACTCCGTCACAGAGTTAGGCCTATTCAGCGGTAATGTGTGAGCGTCGACATCAGTGCACGAGGTTGGGAGAAAAATGCTTCAAAAATTTGGGTGCTTCAAGAAGTGACTTTCAGGCAAATTAGCCAGACAACTATATTGGAAATGTATACTAAATAAATCTGGCACAACTAGCAGGCGTTACTTCTGGTTGTGAATGCAGCGATCGGCTGCCATAACAAACGAACTGCTAAAGTTGATGAGAATGACCAGAATACCATCTACTGACGTCACTTATGGATAACTGTTTGTGCTGATGTCTTTCTGGAATGCAGATACGTCGGAACCACTACTATTTATAAGGCGTTATCTTAGCACGAAAATGTCGTATTGTGTACCAAACAATATATATTAATATCAAATATATTGGTGACTGTTGAAAGGTCATCCCAAAATACTGAAAGTTGAGAAACTACATACGCCATAGGTTCAGTCAGTTCAGTTTATTTGATTTTGCTGTTACAACTCTGATAGAAGGCAACACAATTCTTACTCTAGGATGTCTTGTTTGCCTCTTCGGCGAGAACGTTTGCTCGTTTGGGTAATTCTATAAATGAAACACTGATTAGATTTAAGAGTCATTTTATCAGCCAACCAAACAAATAGGCATATAAAAAATACTGTTCGCAAGATGCCTTCGAATGCTGCCGGAGCAACGTTGCTCAGGTTAATCGAATCCTGCGCATCCCGTATAATGCATTTTCAATACGTGGTGGTGATAATTTGCAAGACTGAACCTACCGAAGTTTACGGAAATCTTGTGATTAACATTCATGTACGAATTAGTTTTGTAATCATTTGGATCCCTGCTGCATTTCGCTGGAAATTTAAACTGAACAAGCTGGACGAAGACCACCCCACGCTTCAGCCAAAACAACATGCAAGATATCAAAGTGTGATATGGCTCTATTCATTGGTCGCCTTATGCCAACTGATGCAAGGAAAGGCATGCGTGCAGCGCATTTAGGCGAAGAACTTAATAAAAAAATTGAGAAATTTGGATGGAAATCAGCTAGGTATTGATCCAGCAGCATCAGCTTATTGTAAGATGGATGTTAATCGCAGCCGTGCGTACAATTTTGAATTGATATAGGGAGGAAGATTGGTGGAGACTGGAGAACAAGTCTTACCTGCTGAGTTACAGGAAGAGAAAAACGGGTATTGTGTTACCCGTGGAAATTAATTTTCATTTTGATAGGTTGTATGTAAAATTTCACATAACGGAGAACGCTGCTGTGACCTCTCTAGAAGAGCAGACTTCCAAAACATTTCACTTTGTACGACTGTGTTATATGCTGAACCACATGTAAGATGATCAGGAGCTTTGCAGTTTACCAGGGATCGAGACGTAGAAGCCATCAGGTAAATATATAAATAAAACTGTCTGATAATAATAACTTAGAGGATGGACCCCAATCGTTATACAATTTGATGGTGTGGCAATACCACTTATTACAAATGAGTTCCTGTGGACAGAAGCCACCTTTTGTGGAACATTTTTTTCGCTGCAGGCTTCCATCAGTCAGCCGGTCGACCAACCTATGTTACCCAGTCACTCAGCCAGTCAGTCTATCAATCAGTCGGTTAGTCAGCCAACCAACCAACCACCCGACCAACCAAACAAACGGACAAATAATTAACCAACTAAACAACCAACCAATTAACCATTCACTATCACCTACACACTCACCTAATCAATAAATCAATAATTATGTTAGGAAGTCAGGCAGTCAATCAATAAAGCATCCAATCAGTCAACCAACCAGTAAGTCATTCAGTCCATGAAACTATCGAACGATCCCTCATACACTCGCTCAGTCACATGTGAATCAAGCAACCAGTCTAAATATGTATCTATCAGTCTAGCGTTCTCTAGATCTATCTGTCTGCCTACCTACTTATCCATATATGCATCTATCTATCTATCTATCTATCTTTCTATCTATCTATCTATCTATCTATCTATCTATCTATCTATCTATCTATCTATCTATCTATCTATCTATCTATCTATCTATTCTATCATCTATCTATCTATCTATCTATCTATCTATCTATCTATCTATCTATCTATCTATCTATCTATCTATCTATCTATCTATCTATCTATCTATCTATCTATCTATCTATCTATCTATCTATCTATCTATCTATCTATCTATCTATCTATCTATCTATCTATCTATCTATCTATCTATCTATCTATCTATCTATCTATCTATCTATCTATCTATCTATCTATCTATCTATCTATCTATCTATCTATCTATCTATCTATCTATCTATCTATCTATCTATCTATCTATCTATCTATCTATCTATCTATCTATCTATCTATCTATCTATCTATCTATCTATCTATCTATCTATCTATCTATCTATCTATCTATCTATCTATCTATCTATCTATCTATCTATCTATCTATCTATCTATCTATCTGTTTATCTACCTAGCGATATACCTACCTACCTATCATCCAGATGATGACCCAATCAATGTAAGAGGTGGATGTCAACTCGGCTTTCGAGAAGTAAAAATCTGGGATGATTGGGTGCCAAATGAATGGCTTTAAATGACAAAAGTGATTTTAAGGAAATTACCTTCGATTCTAAAACTTTAACTTAAATTCTGTCGAACAGAATGAACCCAATGTTTCTCAGTTTTTTCGAATGTATAGATATTTAATTAAAGACTGAGCGTTACTCACTTGTGATACACCGCACTCACCAGGCTAATTCAGTAGAGAATAATAAGTAGAATTTGAAGAGATTTGTTCAACCATATTGCCAAACAACGAAGAATAAACTGTGAAATAAATAGGTGAACCTCTTTCAGATCCCGCAGCAACACCTGTATGGGGAACGCCGATTAGAGATCAGGCAAAAACGTCACACGAGTTGATGTTCGTTGATGGGGCAAGAACTCCATTTCAAAACATTCTAGCTGCGTAAGTGACATCCAGTTTTATTGCAGAAATAACAATGAAAGGACTGGAATTCCACAAAATATGGAAGTTCTGTCAGTGCCCGGGGCATGGAATTTGTGGCTAGTTATTTTGAGAAATATAATCCAATTAGTAATACTAAGGCGAAATCCAGATTGCTAATTTGTTGTGCAAGAAGCTTATTCTAGAAACACAAAGGTGGTGACGGTTCAAAACTAATCAATTTAAGTCAGCCGACCATTAGAAGGTTGACTGGTTTTATATTTCGTCCTGACGTATTTTGCCAGTCTTTCTGTCCCAAACATGTTCCTGAGGAAGAACCACTTTTTCCTGGTCTATGGAAGTTCAGGTCAAGGATGTTCGCTTCTCCAAAAGAGGCCATCCTGCGGAGCTAACCATCCTTGGTTAGCTTGAGGCCATTGCCTCATATTTGTGACCAAAATGCTCATATTTTTTTAGCTTATGTTCTCCTGATTGCTTCGATGAGTATCCAGAAGTGCAGATTTAAAGTTACTGGAGCTCGGACAAAATTGTGCCTTTGTATTTTGTGTTGTTTACTGGTCCTCGGATGTTCGAAGTGCTCCATCGGACGCGCATATGACCTCACCCATCACATGTCTTCCTTGGGTTAAAAGCGTCAAGCTTGTGTCTGAATTGAAGAACCAAAATTTGTTGTTTCGCCCAACAGGCAAGTACAATAATACATTAATTAGCTAGCCATAATCTTTAAGTTCCTTGGGCAGCTGTGCTTCCCTCTAATCCAGGTATTATTTTTACTAGAAACCACATCTCAACCTTCACGCAAAGTGGGATAATTTTCAACCGCATAGCGCCTCTAGAACATTTAACTAGTGTTCGTTTGTTACGATATACTGCAAGTAATGGTGCCCGTCATATCAGATTGGGAGCAAAGGCCTGATTACCCTTCGATGCGCAGAGAAATTGGAAACGCCACATGAAGTCACTGAACGTTAGATAAACATAGACTTACTTCTAGTGCAAACATGTCCTGCCTCATTCTGCGCATTTCCTCATTCCAGCGTCGTCGGCTTTCACCGATCCAGCGGTCAACGTCACGGTCCCAATCATCAGGTGATCGGTATGTGTTGCCGGCAATACCAGAATCCGTGGTTAGCGAAGTAGCCGAGGTGTCCGAAGGTGCCCCAACTCTATCATTAAGTCGTGTACTTGTACGACGCTCTAAGTTGTTGAACATATCCTTCCGACGTTGTTCAAAGGTACGAGCATCCCTGGTAACTGGAATATTTACCTGTGTTCGATAATCTGACATTTTACTGGACCCACGATCGACGCGCTTGTGATGTGAAGCACCAGTCCAACAAAGAAATCTAGACGAAAAACACAAGACGGCACCTAGTACCTTTTATTGGAAAAAGTGATTGTACAATTTCACAAGTCTGCACACATGCACGCAGGTACACATAAGCCGACACACACCAATGGTTGTCTGCCTATCGAATTTCACAGAACCCAGGCGATTGGCTCGTGTGCTTTCGGCAGTGACTGTCGGTCTGTCTGTTGTAGTGCAGAAAGATGGATTTACACCAAAATTGGCCCAGTCGGTTCATGTGTGCTGGAACGACCATGCGCGGTTGCTGTGTGTCGGATCAGCTGACCTAAACACAGAAGCACACATTCGGTAAACTGACGTGATTCATCTGAACAAAGGTCAATCCCAAGAACGATATGGTGCGTCTTAGCTACGAAAGCCGACATGTTTTGTTGTCTAGTTAGCTCATGGAACAAATGTTTCCAGTCTAGGATAACATTAGATGTTCGATGCGATTCACTTAAACTATCGGGAAAGTGGTTACGATGATCGGCAAAACGTTAAAAGGGGGTCAGGCAAATTCTTAATTTGCTACTGAATGTTGGTAGCTCAGTTAGCATCGATGGTTCGCGCTACTACACGCCATACTATCTCACTAATAATGTTAATTCGATTGGTGATGAAACGTTTACAATCAAATTGACCAGCTCACCGAACAAGCCAACGAATAACTTGTTAATTTTCCGAGTCATGTGGCGAGAATTATAATCGCCTTCCCGTAGTATAAGACGACAGTGACAACAAAAACGACACCGGAATCACTAGTAAAAAAACATTAGAAACTCACAATGTGTAGATTCGGGCAAATTGGTCGGAATTTCCAAGTCAGTGCAAGTTAAATATGGCCAACAAGGAGACAGGCATCTCTTCTTAGGTCATCGGTAGTTTTGAAGGCACCCTAGATTTTGGTAATTCTTAAAGGTGTCTGTCTGCTCTATCGTTGCCCATCGATCAAACCAATTTTTTTTATTTTACCACAAACTTCGTCTGACGTTGTGCGTGTTACGAAAATTAATCATTCGTCAGGAAATACATCCATTTGACCACCCAATCGTTTTTACCGGGAGGCCTGACTGGATCCCATCTGAATCTCCCTACTACGAGGTCTTTCAGATGAATGTGTTGCATAAATGCCGTATCACGTTTTACTTGGTACAATGATCGAGATATCACACAGTATGTTTTATTGATGGAATGGCACTAATGAGATTGCTATTCGACAACCTATAGCCAGTTTTTTGTGAGGGTTCATCAGGCAGGTGCAGTCCATGAATATTCGCCAACCGTGGTCTACTTTAACCCGAAATGAACGAAATACTGTCATAAACGAGATATTTAGTGGGGCGTCAGTTAAATCTCTCACCAAAAAAGAAGCAACCTGATGTCAAGAGTTTCGTATTTTGAGAATTTTGTGTCACCTGTGTTCAGGTAAAACATAACGTTAATGGAAATTTGGGACATTGCCTTCCTTGGCAAGCTCCTGGAACGGCATAACCGGCTGTGGGCTGTCAAAGATTTTTTGAATAGCGATAATAATTGCATCGAGGAGCCACGTTTATTAGTACAGAAACGGGACACGATCAAACTGTAAGGGTTCACTGTTACAATGTACCGCTGGGGAAACGAGGTGTCATCGGTGTTCTTTATTTACCGTTCAAATAGGCCATCCTTACTCGGTTTATGAGCCCTGTTGAAGCATGCTATTGGAATCCGTCAAAACTGAAAACCGGCAAATTCAAGAGTGGTCATGTGACCTCACGAGCAAAACTGAAGATTGTACAAACCACAAAAGCACGGAGTATCTAGTAAAGAAACAAGGATTGTGATGACGTATATGACCAGTTTGTTTGGACAACTCATTTTGAAACCCCACATGAATTAGCGTCGGTTTACTTAGCTCAATCTCTGCATGACTAAGTTGTGAAGCCCTCATGAGCCGGTGATAAGAGTCGTTTAATTGAGAGACACCTTGACAAATAAAATGTCGCGAAAAGAAGGGTAAATCTGTCTTAACAAGCTCAAATTTATATTGCCTGTCATCTGGTTGGACAAACAAAATAATTTGTGTTCATCTGTTTACCACTACAACGGTAAAGTACAATGCACCTTGGACAGTTGTTGCTGCATGGGAAAGCGAAATACTGGGTTTATTAACAAACTGAACGACAATTTGCTTTCGGGTTCTTCACGTGTCTGATGATGAAATGATGATAAAAGGATGGAATTGTGACTTAATCTGCCAAGGCTACGGCTGGGAAGATAGCTAAAAGTGAGCATTTTACAGCCAGCAGCGCAAAGCTCCACCCGATATCTACCTTGTGATGAATCTACCGAGGTGCGTGTGTATCATATCTCAACATATCAGAGACTACAAAATTGAAGTTGTAAAACATTATTTCTGGGAAAAATCATCGTTATTTAATGGTAGCATGTCCTGAGTAGCAATTAAATGTCTCGATATCTTGAATGGCTTGGAAACATTTAGTGGTTCTTGTGCAGCTCACTTCGTTGAAGATTAGGGTGCAAGTGAGCTTCAGCTGCGTCTCCCGTCAACATCAGTTCGGCATGCAACTGGATGTTTACCGTAATATACATACAGTTTGGTGCTGAATTATGAACGAGGTCGGTGGAGATTCAGGGACTAGGAGTAGTTGATAAGACCTGAGAAATGTGAAACCGGTGGTGGGTTGCCCCGTGTTTCCATGGCTGACTGATTTGGTAGAAGGTTTTGCATATCGTGTTTCTACTTAAAAGTCTGCCTCGTTTGCCGTTTGGAATAAAAATACCATATTGTCAAGATCTTAGTTTTGTTTCCACTTACAAGGGTACTAAATAAAATGATAGTACAAAAGCCATTAACATGACTTCATGAAACTCCACACAACATTCTTCATATTCACTTGACCGGAACAAAGACTAAGTAAGGCCCTCCGTTAGTCAGGTGCTATAGTTTTTTCATGATTTCTCTTGCGTTAGAAGCTGTATCTCTTACCTTTATTCCAGTGTAAGAGATTTAATCGGGCTTGGATAACTGTTGACTGGTCCTCTCCGGTCGACGGTTTCGTATCCAGTTCACTCACGTTTTGTCGTGACTGCTCCGAGGTTTCCTGGATGAGACTCCACTTTACTCGGTTACTGCAGTTGTGTTCCACTGAGCACTTTTTGCAGCCGCTGCGCTTATTCGCTGAAGAGAATGGTATCTTTGGAGAAGCACACTGATTGGCAAAGTAAACCGGTTGTTTGGGCGACTCAGTTGAATTGCATTTGATTCCCTCGTTAATGGCACTTTTGGAATGAATGTGTTGCACAAAGGCCGTCTCAAAAAGGCAGAACAATTTCTGCGCTACGAAGAGCGGGCTGTCGACACGCATGCCCCACTAAGACTGCAGTGTTACTAAGTCCGACTGGACTGGGCTGTCTGCAGTAATTCACAGTCGTATATCAGCTGCAAAGTTCACGCTGGCGTGACATTCTTTTCGACAGTTTTCACAACGCCATGGATAACTTGGAAAGTCAATTAACTGTTGGATAAAAAGAAGCGCTGTATTTAAAAAACGCAATCCATACATTCCGTTCCCAATCAGTCTTGAGCCGACAGTGCTAATCAATTAAAATCCTAGTGATAATGAACTGTAAACGCAATCATAAATGTTCCGGGCTGTTATTGGCCTTCACCATTAGGCTGGAAAATGATATGGTTACATAAGTTTTATCCTGCTTAGTAAACCAGTACTGGCCAAAATGAATATAGATGAATGCACTAAAACGCTGGTTCATTTTAATAAAAACACCTGCCATGTAAAGACTTAACCAAGATCAATTCCGCGTCCTACCATTACTGAGGTGGAGGTGACATCAGCCATGTTACGGATGTAGATAATTTTGGCAACTGTCTTGGAGAGTTCCACAGTGATAGCCCATATTTTCGCTGTTGAGTACAGTAGACCTCAGTTTGGTTGACATTCATATGGTTGGTCGTATGAATGAACGATCTGCCGTTAATCTCCTTACATTCAGTGCTTTCACTTTTTGGACGTTAGACCAAAATGCGAACCCACTTTTCAAACGGGTTATGGGACGAGAAGCTCCAAATTTGTGCCTGAAGTGAGGACACATGCACTATACTTTAATCCAGGTAACGCACATTTTCAGCTGTCTGGTAATGTAGAAAACGAACCGATTGAGAAAAACCTAGGGAACAAGCGATTGTTGGGTTGTTGAGTCGGTTGGCCCAACCGAAAATCCATGTAATGTTTGACCGGATTTAGCCACAAAACAGCCACTAACTAAAATATATTTGGTGATTAGCGAATATACACTCACTTGCAAACTAGTTTGATTTTTTCGAGAGACTCACCTGGAACCCAGCTGCATCTCTCGTTTATGATGTTCTCAGGCAACTGAACATAAGATTGACGGAAACCCGGGGACTGCGCCTACCTGATGAGCTCCAAGAAGGGCGAAACCGGTCGTGGGCTGTCGATGGATTTTCAGCAACCTTATGAGTAGTACATTACAAAGATATTTAGTGATTATTCCGTAGAATTATGTGCAGTGTGGCTTCAGTATGTACACTACCTTTCAAGATAGCAAACTGAATACTCACATTTTGTTGTTCAGTGTAAGACGATTCCCCGTACTGTTTTATTAGAAAGACATGTATTCCACCGATTTGTGATACCTACTTACAACCATATTATTCAAGAATTATAAGGCAGCGCACCCAAATAAATGCACTTGGTAGGTAAGTTTGATACTACCCTATTCGCAATAGTCCTATGCATACTCGACCGATTAACCCAACTCACCTCCGTATTTCACTGGACAGTTCACTCATGCTTTCTTGGAATGTTCACGGACTCGGCCACGAATAGATTTGTTTCAATGTTTATGTGGTAGCAGAACAAGAATCATGTTGTCTTTTTGGCGGACTACTTACGTCGGATTCCTGCACGTTCATCAAAGCGGATTTTCGCAATGCATTGACCGGTAGCCAATACCATTAAACGGCCTACGTCCACTTAC